TTGTTGGATGAGTGGGTGGGCCTCAATATATTGTACTCCTTTCTCCTCGACTGCAACATTGTAATTGACACTAGCATCATGAGCAGTGACACGCACTTGAAAGGCAGACAGGATCCAACAAAAACTTGTTCTAAAATACGAAAGTTATGAAAGGCCAACAGGGATCTCGATTGCCCAAGTTCAAAAAGCTGTTGGTGGCCTCATACGCCATGAAGATGAAGGCCATTCAACCAAGGCCGGAAAGATGCCTGGTCAAGTTGGCCTACCCGAAATGAAGGATTGGGCCGTCAACTAGCTCTCCATAAGGGCTAGTCAATCTTCAAGGAGGTCCAGTGAACCTTTCAGACTACATAAGGGATTTTTGGCACCAGTCACTCACATATCCGAGTCAACATTGACGTATACAAACAACTTTGTCTCCTCGGTATAGGGTACAGGTGGATTAATTTTTATTTACAAATCAGGTGGTAATTAAGTTTTAATAATTATAATTAATAAAAATTTAATTAAACATAATCTCTACAAATTCACCTCACCTAACCCCCCTCCCCACGCACCATTCATTTCAAAATCTCACCCACCATTCTCTCAGTACTCATTCTCTCTCTCTCATCTCTTCTCACCCACCGATAGCCACCGTGGAGTAGTATCGCCGATTCCGTCTACGCCGCCACCTCCACCGTCGGACAAAACGCCACCACCACCGTGCTCAAGGCGCCACCATCGAGCGGCGTCGCTCTGAAGAAGTAGTGCCGCGACAACCACCACGCGAACGTTGTGAAGACGGAACCACCACTGAGCGGCGCCGCTCGAAGGGCCACTGTCACTTTGAACAGCCGCACGAAGGGCCACCACACGCAAGGTTACTTCTCGATCTGCGCAACGCCGAGGCGATGTCGAACTGTGGGTTGTGATTTGTAGTTGAGAGCCGATGATGTCTGTAGTTTGTGGTTTTGGGTGATGAGTTTCGCTGCTGGGGTTTTCCGGCGCTTGTAGTTTTGTGATTTGTGTGTGGTTGTGATGGCAGGTGGGTTGGTATCGATGGCGGTG